AAGCTGTTCAAATTTTTAAATCATATGAAAAATAATATTTTTGTTCATTTAATGTTGAATATATTGCATGAGAAAATACAGATGAACATTAGTATTCAGGGAAGAAATTCTCTCCTTTCTGTCTCGCTCTTTGCTCTTGCTCTCTCTCCGTTCCTGCTCTCCCACCTCCCCTTTCTCCTCACACTGTTATGAATGCCTTTAATGTCATAATATCCTTGGCATAATGAGAACTTATTCTTTGGTTGAACTTCACCAAAATGTAAAATTGAAAACATATCTAAGTGCTGCGCTTTGGTTTGGATATGGTTTAAGTGTATACCCCCAAAGGTTCACATGCTCAAATCTCGATCTCCAGAAAGCTATATTGGGAGACGGTGGCACGTACAAATCCTTAGCTCAATTAGGGGGCCTTGGAAGGAACTGTGAACTTCAGACTCCAGACTGCATGCTTCAAGGTATGATCTCTTCCTTACAAGTGTTCCCACCATGAGGTGCTGCAGCCAAGGAGACCCCATCCATGCTGATCTCAGGCCACTGCCCGGTCCTCCAATCTCCGAAACTGTGATTTAGAGAAACCTCTTTCTTTATAAAATTAGTCTGCCCCAAGTGTTTCATTAGACTAATGCAAAATGGACTAGTACAAAATGGACTGATACAACTTGGTTGGAACTATGTTTAGAGCTCCTCTAGCTCAATTCTCTGTTTACAAAAAACTCAAAATTCAGAGGTTGTTGAAGCAAAATAAGTTCAGCAGTGGGAGTCATGACCTTACTACAGTCCTGGCCATCTTGAAGGAGTTAGCATGATGAAATGCTGCTTGCACCTTTTGGAGACTTACTATGTCAGCTATGCAGGAATACCTTGCAGAGCTATTACAGCAAGATTCTTGGGGAGGAGGTTTATGCTCTGAATCAGCATCAAATCTATAGCACTCTTTCTCTTTTAGCCAAAATTCACTTTTCTTGGAATTAAAGGGTAGAAGATGAAGGTGATAGCATTCACATTTATACCTAGTGTTTTAGTTACTTTTCTCTCATTGATGAAACAAAATTAGTTAAAGGGAGTTAAAGGGAGAAAATGTTTATCTAGCTCATGGTTTATAGAGGTTTCAGTGCATAATCAGCTGACTCAAAGGCAGAGTGGCACAGGGCATTGGAAGACAGCAAACATTACAATGGAAGGAGAAGGAACAAGCCTCTTTCTGTCCCTTACATTATCTGCAGGCTACCCACCCTAGGGCAAGTATAGCATTCACACCCATAATCCCAGTATTGGACCACAAATTAATCAAAAACTGCAAATTCAGCCCAAACTGCAAATAAAGCCCATGACCTATGACTGCATGAGGCTTTGGGGGTACATCTAGACAAAAGCAATAACACCTAATGACCTATTACCAATTTTTGCTTCCTGTTCCCCAACTTTATGCTGCACTGGCTTAGAGATCTTAGTGCCAAAGGGAGAAGTGTTTCTATCTGGAGGCACAACAGGGAAATTATGACTGTTGGGCAGCCACATTAAGGTCCTCATGCCTCTGAGTCAATAGGCGAAGAAGAGTGTTTAAGTTTTGGCTAAGATGACTAATCTGAATTACCAAAGGGAAACTGGATTGCTACTCTACAATGAAGTAAAAGATAGTATATATTGAATGCAGGAGATTCTTAAGGGAAGTCTTACTATTTCCATGCCCTGTGACCAAAGTCAATGGAAAATTACACAAACTAATCAATGAATGTAAGACTACTAAAGGTCAAAACCCTTGAAGAATAAAGGATTGGTTATTACACAAGCTGAAATCACTGTAGAAGCCAAAGGGATATAGAATGGCTAGTATAAGAAAGTAATTATAAACATGAGCTATAATCTCTTGATCAGTTGCCAAAATAAGGGCTGTAACTGTGGCAAGTATTTCCTCTTTATTTTGTTGTGAATGCTTGCGTGTATATATACATATATTAAACAAATATCTTTTGTCTGTTTCCCCTTTGATTTCTTTATTATGTAACATAAAGGTGTGTGTGTGTGTGTGTGTGTGAGAGAGAGAGAGAGAGAGAGAGAGAGAGAGAGAGAGAGAGAGAGAGAGAGAGAGAGAGAACCCGAACAGTTGAGTTTTGAGTACTGGGATAGCATTCCAAAGCTATGTAGGAAGATAAAACAAATTTGAAGAACATTTAGGCTGTAAAATTTATTTGGAGAGAATGCCTTTTTTAGGACAGCAAGTTAGATAAACAGGAGTTGTTCATTAATTCTTCTTTTTAGGATCAAGAGATAGTCACTGGTGACCACACAGTACCTCCTTCAAGAACTAGGAGACTATTATTACGTTTGATGGGATTGGAAACCTCAAAAAGGATCCATCTAACAATGAAGAAAGAGTTACATAGTCTACAGAGGATGTGAGTCGATAGCTTCACATTGAAATGATCATTCTACTTGATGAACTGGAACTTCCATTATACTCAGTCGTTAAGTTATCAGTGGAATGAGTTTCTGAATGAGTTTCTGAGATAATATAAAAGGTAACAAATACAAAAGTAATGGTTCGTCCTTGAGATAGTTTCACACCTATAAAGAAAATGTTGAAAATCTGTAAGGGAGGCTTGGCAGAGAAATGACTGGAGAAAAAAATCTCAAATAAGGCACAATAATTTGAAGCCTGACAAGAAGAGAGAAAAATCTGTGAAATGGTAATGAGCAGTTTCAAGTCGAGCAGAGATTATGTCGAAGATGACCTCTGAGAGACAACTGAGAGAAGACTGGGTTAACAGCATGGAGAAGGCTTCATCCCAGCAGCAGAGGACTCGGAATGCAGCAAAGCAGGAGGCAACTGATGCAGGACTTGTCCGCATTAAATCTGAGTAGCAAAGTAGGACAGCCCTGCAGCTATCTGAAGGAGTAGCAAAGACAACACAAGTGTTTTTACTGCTGTTTGTCTCTAAGAAAAATGTAATCTTCAAAAAGTGAAGTAGAAGGGAAAAAATTGATTTTGCAATGATATCTATTAATGTATGCTCAATATTTGTGAAGAGGATAATTGGTAAACATTTAAAAAAGACAAAAATTAAGGAAACAAGAATAGTTTTGGAATTCAGGGAGATAACTACTGGTGAAGCAGCTATTCAATACAAAGAGATAGATAGATAGATAGATATAGATAGATGAAAGATAGATAAGGTCTTCTGTAGGTTGAAAATGGAAAGAGAATTTTTTTAATGTACAAATCTTATCATTTCTATATATTGGGATGGGATTGTGGAGTTCTGAATAAATATTCCTTTAATATAAAGATAGTATGTCACTTGGGGATCTTCGTTTCTCTTTCCCATATATTGTTCTCATTTTGTCCTTAACATTTCAAAACATTCTTAATATTTTGTCTTGACTTTGACATACATGACTTTGATATACATGACTTTGATACATTTTGGGTCTTGAAGTCTACAATAAGTACCATAATGAAGAATAAATAATTATTAAATTTTGTGACATGTAATGGTGCAATAAAAATATGGGCTTTAAGACATTCCTAAATAAAAGAGTTCATATTCTTAAATAAAATAAATTGGACACACATGTTTAAATATTTCATTGTTTCTCTAGCGAGAGAAACTGAAAGGGTAAATAAAGACCAAAATGCATGACAGATACTGGGAAATAGGAAGAAAATATTCAAATGGGAAGGGGAACAAAGAAAGGGGAAGAGGGAAAGGAAGGAAGGAAAAAGACAAAAAGCATAGAAGGAAGAAAATGGAAATAAGGCTTTGTAAATAAGGAGGGCAAAAGGGGTTGAAGGGAGGAGAGGGGATGGGGAAAAAAGAAGAATCAGGAAATATATCATGTACAGGCACAAACTTCCTGTAATGAATGTGATCATTACATACATCTGAAATGTACCAATAAAATTAATTTTAAAAAGATATCCATGTAATCCTAGCATTCAAGAGACTGAGGATGGAGAGTTATGAGTCTGAAGGTCAGCCAAAGGATACATATAAAGTTCAAGGCCAGCATGAACTGCATGACCAGAAACTGTCTCAAGAAAAAAAATTGTGACTTGCTTTGTTAGCTTTAGATCAATTGCCAGTATTTTTCTAAGAACATGTGATCTCAGATTGACCAATGAATTTTATTCATATTTGTTCATATTCGATTCTGTTGTTCAAACATGAGATAATACATTTCCTTTATATCTTCTTATGGGAAACAGGAAGTCATACTTTGAAACTTTGAATTCTTTTTTGCTTTCGTGTGGGACACTCTCTCCAGTCGCTCATTTTGAACCACAAATCAGCGTTCCTAAGTAAATGTTAGTGGGAAACAACCCAATTAATAAAAATTTTTAGTGTATATAGAAATTATCTTAGAACTGGAGAGCAAGAGCAAAACAAGAAAAAATCAATATAAATTTCATTTTTCCAGAGGAAATGACTCAGTGTTATGTTACATGTCCAATTTGTTTGGAGTACTACGAATAAATCTTTTAAAGATTACATAAAAGGGGAGAATGGTTAAGTTGTGAGATCAACCACATATACTTTTAGGAAAAATCAGACAATAGCTTAGTATTTCATGAAAGATACAATAAAAATTGAGGTAAATACTGAGTTAAAGAATTATTCAGCTTTCAAAAGTTCTCTCTTACAAGTGATTTAAAAGAAGACGAGGAGTTGTTATGGTTTATGTTTGCATGTCCCCACAAAGCCTCATGCAGTCACGGGGGCGGGCTTCTAGAGTTTATGATCCATCCATGGTCTAATGCTGGGATTATGGGTGTGAGTGTTACATTCGCCTTGATGGGGGTAGTTTTACACATATAAAGGAGAGAAAATGGCTGCTTGCTGTCATTCCTCCCTTTTGTTGTTGCTTTTTCTGTTTTCCACTGCCATGGACTATTGTCCTCTGCCATGTGCCCTTCTGCTTTGGAGCCAGCCTAGTATGGACTAAAACCTCCACAAACTGTGAGCTAACTAAATCTTTCCTTTCTTAATTTTGGGTGTCAGGTATTTTGTCTCAGCAACGAGAGAAAAGTAGGATAGAGTCTTTCAAGGCCCATCCAAGCAGTGTCTTCAGTGTGGACTGTGGAGAAATCCAAAATTAGAGAATATGCATGTGAAGAGTACAGAGATTTTGGTAAGTCTTCCACAACAAATTACCACCAAATAAATAGTTTATAACAATAGATATCAATTCACTCACAGGTCTAGAAGTTAGACTTCTGCAATTAAGGTGCAGGTAGGACCATATCCCTCTACATGCCCTGAGGTCCAGTTGTCTCTTAGCTCCAGTACTTCTGAGTAATCCTTGATAGTCTTTGTCTGCAGTTTATCACTCTTGCCTCTGTTGTTGTTTGCCCTTGGGGACTGTTTATTTTTTCTTCTGGATTTGGAGACCACGCTAGTATGATCTCATCTTCACTATCTATAAATACTCTATGTGCAAATAAGATTGCATCATGAATTTCCAGGTGGACGTGAGTTTTGGAGACACAAACTTCAACCCCATGTAGTGAATGAAAGTATTTCACAAAAGTGGAGAGTGATTTCTCAATCATGTATTATTTTATTTAGTAATTTCAAAGTATATTTTTGAAAATTAATACTTTAAATATTATAAAAGGCCACAGGTATTTATCTAAATCCTTTGAAGTTTATTTATCTCTCAAATGGCCAAAAGCTTTAATTTATATTATTGTATTATGCAGAAAATTGCCCTATGTTCAGGCACAAAAAATAGCCAGGTGAATCAAATAGTTTCTTAATGATTACTTTACCCCTCAGAAATGTTCATGTGAATTAGTAGAATTATTGCTTTTGGAGCATGGAAGCAAGGTCATTCTTAAACTTCAAAGAGATAATTATATCTGAATATCTTCTCATGGAAAAGCAAATATTCTTCTCTTAAACAGAGTTCAAATTTATTTTTATTCATTTAAATCTCCAAAGAAACTCATTAAAAGATCTATGCCTTCTCCCTTTAAAGATAGGAGGTTATCTCTTTCATTACATGGATAGAGCAGGATGTGGACAGAGTAACATATCTTTTCCTTTGCTTTTTCATCCCTACTTTCTTTCCTGCTCTCTAAATCATGCAAGGCTGTGTCTTAGAATCACTTTTTACCAGGAAACTTAAATAATGTATTTACTTACTCATCTACACATAACATATATTGCTTCTAAAGAAATAATCCTTACAAGAGAATAGTAACTTCTCAGCCAATAAGACATTAATGAAGTTATTTGCCCCAATTCATATAGCTGTAAGCAAGGATTGGGTTAAAGTGCAACACTTTCAAATTGAAGCTCAGATCTTCTTGACATGAACACTTTATTGATAATTTTCTACTTTTCTTCACACCTCAATCAATTATAAAAGATAATATGACATTGGAAAGTGCTTCTTCTTAAATGTTTTATTTTTGTTTTTCTTAACTCTGTAGATTCCTTGCAAGAAGTATCACATTAATAAATTTGAGAGAAAAAAGTTTAAGAGCAGGTTGGAATGCTCAAATTTGAAGCCTGAATTGTCACACTCTGATTGATAGGCAAGGTGTTACATGTCTTTTCACCTCAGTGTCTTCATCCATAAAGTGGGTATAATGCCTGTTGATTGTTGGATTGAAGATTTCTTGAGGTATTTGCTGTTTGGTAAATGGAGCACTGTCTGGCAGAGCTAAATATTCAACCATTCATTGTTAGCTGTAGTTATGTACCTTCCATAGCCTTCAAGCTTCAGTAGGCAATAAGTAACCAATAATTGGTTACTTTTGTTATTTTTAACCAGTTACTGGAACATTTGATTTGACTTCAAAGTTGATATTGTGTTGGCTTGCAGTGTGATTTTGAATTTTAATTAAAAATTAATATTCTGTATGTTACATTAACAAATTTGAAGACCCTTGATTAAAGGCCCTTAAGCAGATGAAAGAACACGTCATTTAAATCATAAAAAACATTGGCTTCTAGGCACAATCCTTCTGGTACACCCACGACTACTCACCTATATTAAATTCCAAATTGTAATGGTATATTAAATACAGGATCCCAGAGTGGATTTTAAAACCATTATTCAATAATATCAACATATTTCAGTAGAAGAATTTTGATGAAAAATAATAACACCCTAGTGCGGTTGATGCTAAAACAAGTCAACATTTAATTGTGTGTGATATGTAAAGTATAAAGTTATAATATACAAAGTTGTGGAAAATAATATATGAGAAGGAAAATTAATATTATACCAATAAAGTACAGTATTTATGCTTCACTAGCTGAAGTTAATGAAAATTCCTAGAGAAGGAGAATTGCTACTTAAATGAAAATCACATGAGAAGTTGAAAGCCACAGGACTGAGGTCACTGAAAAAACCTGAACAATATCTTACACTCCCTCAAATAAAATTTTAACTATAATACATAATATAAGGGAATTTGCTACCAGAGCTCATATAGTTAACCTAAGTACCTACAAAGCATTCATCACACATGCTCAGGAAGAAAATTTTAAGACCTACCCTCCATGTAATTCTAATGAGATTTTCATAAAACATATTTTGAGTTGCGTAAAATCTTATGATTTAACAATTTATAATTGTCAACACTCACTTCATATACCAAGTAATTTGAAAACTTGAGTAATTTTATTCATGATACATTTGCTCTTTCCAAGTCAAATTTCTAACACAAATGAGCCAGTGTTTCAGATCCCACTTAATTCACACTCATGTGTAGGTAAACAGGAGTGAGGACTAGTTTACATGGAATCTTCCATTTCTCTTAGCTACCAAACTCTACGAGCTGTCAACTTTTATCAATTCTATCTCCTAAATATGGTAAGTTTTGAAAATTTTCTTTAAAAATATCTGTGTAGCTAGGTTTGTAAAATCACTTCTGTGCTATTTTGTTTCTAGTTTAGGCATTGTTAAATCCATTCTAAATAATATTGCCAAAAGAACACATTGCAAATTTAGCAAAGATTCTTTCCTATTACATATACAGTTGATTTGAGGTGGCACCTGGACGTGGAATACTTTTCCTGGTTTATTTTTACTTTTGTTTGTCATTTAATTGTACGTATTTATGGAGTACAACATAGTGCAAGTGTTCATTGTAAAATGATCAAACAAATGTAATTAGTTTATTAATTACTTTAAACATCATTTCTTTGTGATGAGAATATCCAAAATCCTTTCTCCTAGCTCTTTTGAAATATACACTGATTATTGTTCTATAAATCTACTGGGTAATAGAACCCCAGAATTTATTCCTCTTATCTAACTTTAACATTCTACCCACTGAAAAATGTCTTATTAGCCCCATGGGTTAATAAGGAAAATATGGTATTTGTGCTACATGTTTTCAGCAGCATACTAGCAAGTTATAAAAAGGATGAAATACTGTTACTTACAATAATATGGATGAGCCTGGAGAACATAATGTTAAGCAAAAGAAGCCAAGCATAGAATACCAAATGCTATGTGATTTCACTCCTAGGTATTTCTAAAAGTCCAATCTTATAGGAGCTGAGAATTGCATATTGGTTGACAGAGCCTAGTTAACATAGGGAAAGTTATTTCTAAAAAGTTTCACAGTGCTTGCCATGTGACATTAGAGTTGAGTGCTCTGCCCTACCACTTATCTCATCACACTATAACATGCATTTGTCTTTCTTTTCCTCTAGGTTGTCAGTTTTTCATAGTAGATCTAGATTTTATACCTGGATAGCCTGCATACCTGGAAGGGTGCCCAACACAAAGTCAGCTGATATAAAGATCTGAGTCTTAAATGTATTTAATTTTATTTAATGAAATGGCTGTTAATCAGATGTCTTCTGTGTGGTGGACTCCATGTCAGTTGTTTCTGAAAGGATGTACATAATACACTGTTGACCAATAGGAAAATCTGTATTTAACTGGATGCTCATGAATTAGCATAGTGATAGTAGGTGAGGACCACTGCAGCTTAAATTACTTTGCTAGAATCTCTAACTCCATCTCAAAAAGCAAATCACTCTTTCTTTTAAAACTTCCATTATTTAACTTATTTATTTTAAAGATAAAAGAAGGAAAACATATTAACAAACACACATACATAATTAGTTAAATAAATTTTTAAGAGTATCTTCCAACACCCTAAAAACATATAAAGTCTATCTACAAATAGTTACTTTTTCTTTCCCTCATTCAAATATTTAGTACCTTTTTATTTTTTCCAGGCTACAAAAAAAAAAAAAAAAAATCCAAGCAATTGTAGACCGGTTTAATAACAAAAAACGGCAGGTGTTCACTAAATAGAATAAGAAAATTAAAAGCAGCCTAACTGCAAAAACTTTCTTTGAACCACGGGTTTAAAATTTTAATAGTTTTACAACCTTCTCAAGCTGTCAATGGAAAAACGTGGCTTGACATTGAACACATACCAAGTCAGTAGCATAACTGTTTTACAATGTCTGATTGGTCATTGAAAAACATAGTTTAAAATTCAATCCATGTGATGGAAATGCCACTTAGAAAAAAACCATTCATATTTCAGTGCTGCAGGAAAACTGTGGCTGTAATAGATCCCATTTCACCCAGCAGCAAGAGGATTTTTAAAGCCCTACAAATGGAATGGTTCCTAGACTGTTGCCTATTGAATATTATTAATATAAATTTTATTATCATAAAATTCACGATAAGAAGAAGAAAAATATATATTATTATTCATGTTTATGGGTTAAAAAACTTCATGTCTTAAAGGAAGATTTTTGGGTATATTTATGGGAACCCTCTGGGAATGTCCATTCATAATTCCACTAGGTCATTCATTCATTAATTTAACTGAAATACGCTGAACACTGGCTACATTGCTTCTCATGGTGGAAAGGGTGTGCTTCCTCAGTCTTCCAACTGGAATTTACATTAGTCACCGATTTCGAGTCCTATTTGGGAAGTCTATGGATAGATAGATACCAATGCTGATAGACTACAGAATTACAGATTGCCCCAAAAAGAAACAGTGTCCTGAAGGGTTTGTGGGTTTTACAAGAAACCAAATCAAAACAAAATAAAGTAAAATAATTAAAGTAAATCAAATGGAGAGTTTTTTGTTTGTTTGTTTGTTTGGTTTTTCTCCGGTACCAGGAACCGAACTCACG